TACAGTCTCTAGGTGAACTTAGGACATAGTCCTACCTTCATGGCGGCTCTGGAGCTTTCGGGGACGCCCTGGTTGTACTTCCCCGTCAGCAGACCGCAGGCTAGCGGAGACCAGGTCATGGCTCCCACTCCTAAAGACATTTGGACGTTATTCAGAACCAGAACTTGGACATCTGCTGTCCCTGTAGTCCTCAGCCTCACTGTCCACCAGAGGACGTAACATCACATTACACCAGGATTAACAGGTCCGAGTTAGTCTGTCCCAGCATCAGTTAAAGCTAGTTAGCAGTACGTAGTGTTAGCTAGGACCAGCAAAATGGTTTTCTCCCTTCAATCGACTAAACAAAGACATTTAGTCCTGACTTGGATCTGACCCAGAACACAAGCCTTCAGACTGACCTTAACCTGGGACCTGGCTCAGTGGTACAATGACTGACTACTGGCCTACTTCATGTTGTCAGACAGGTTCTATATAGCGGGTGTCTGGCTGTTCCTACCGATCTTATGGTAGAGCTCAGGCAGCTGCAGCTCCACCTTGTCCCTCTGGAAGTAGTGGTACTCTGCCTGCTCACAGACCGGGGGAATCAGGTTGAACTGGCGGGCGATGGAGTACGCCTCCTGACCCCAAAGACACCCCAGGTGAGACCCAGCCAGCTGTAGGAGACACTGAAACACGTTCTACAGGTTCTACCATGATCTCCACCACGTTCCAGCGGGACGTCCCCCAATACATGGCCAAACCCTGCTCGATCACGAAGGTCATCGCACGCACGATCTCTGCAACACAACCAGAAGAGGGTGAGGCACAGCGGGGCGGAGGTCACAGTGGGTGGGTGTGATGCCTGACCCTCCATAGGCGCATTGACGTCACTCCTGTTGGCGAACACGATGTCCACATAGTCCAGCTGTAGCCTGGAGAGAGACCCACGCAGACCTGCAGCACACACAGACCGCCACACACTGTCATTCCCATCATAGCCACATAATCTAATAAACTGAGACAAAAACAGGTTATTTTCAGCCTCAAGGTCAAAACTGACGCGTCTAAACAGCTGTCATCAACTCTGACATGTGCTGAGCTCAGGTGGACCAGTCTTTGAGGACGGGACACAGCTAAGGAGAGACATGACTGACACTAGCTGTGGTTACCCAGGTCCAAACACAGAGGAACCAGTTTATCTACAGCTAGGCTAACGGCGCAGATGATCTCAGGTAGAAGTCTGTTTACTCTACAACAAGGAGAAACTGGAGTCACTTAGACTTTAGCTCTTCCTCTCTTTGGTTCTTTCAGAAAAGGTCTACTGAAGGTTGGATGGAGGTTCAATAAAACGTCTGGTTAGGATGGGAGGAGGTCTATTGCAGGTCAATTGAAGTTGTTTCAGGTCTGTTAGAAGTCTGCTGGAGGCCCTCCGATGGCCTATAGCAGGTCTACAGGAGGTCTGCTGCAGGTCTACAGGAGGTCTGCTGCAGGTCTAATGGAGGTCTGCTGCAGGTCTACAGGAGGTCTGCTGCAGGTCTAATGGAGGTCTGTTGCATTTCTACTGGAGGTCTGCTGCAGGTCTACCTCAGTTATTCTGCAGGTCTACTGGGGGTCTGCTGCAGGTCTACTGCAGTTCTTTTGCAGGTCTACTGGAGTTCTTCTGCAGGTCTACTGGAGGTCTGTTACATTTCTACTGGAGGTCTGCTGCAGGTCTACCTCAGTTCTTCTGCAGGTCTACTGGAGGTCTGCTGCAGGTCTACTGCAGTTCTTTTGCAGGTCTACTGGAGGTCTGCTGCAATTTTACTGGAGGTCTGTTGCATTTCTACTGGAGGTCTGCTGCAGGTCTACCTCAGTTCTTCTGCAGGTCTACTGGAGGTCTGCTGCAGGTCTACCTCAGTTCTTCTGCAGGTCTACTGGGGGTCTGCTGCAGGTCTACTGCAGTTCTTTTGCAGGT